TTGAATTTGGTATTTATATCTACTTTTTGTTATTAATATTAGTATCTACTTTCAAGTGTATTTATGTAGTATTATTTTAAATGTTAAAAAATTTAATTATAGTACGGAACCGAACGGAACCGAACCCGAACAGTTCCAAAATTATATTTGGAACCGACGGTTCCATTTACTAAATACCCGAAAATTTCTGGAACCGAAAAAAACCGAACCGAACCGACCCGCGCCCACTCCTACCTACAGGATGAATAGCTTCGTACCAGGCTACCAGCTAGCAATGTAAAGGTTACACAAATTTAGAGAAATCAAAATAGAATACAAATAAATGGGTCAAACTCTATTCTTATTATTTATTAAAATATGGCTAATACTTCGTTTTCTTGTTGATATCTTATTGTTACCTACCACTTCTGGACAACTCCAACAGTTTGAGAAAATGTATAATTCAAGAATATCGTACAGCCAGAAATGCTAGTATATCCTGAATCAATTACAACTATTAGCATCACACAGATTTAAGGGTTTTAGCTGTTGGAAAATTTCAAGAGGAAAGTGTAGACAAAACATCAATCACCAAATTGAAGACTGAATATCAAAACAAGAACCAAAGACTCTAAACTGAAGATGTAGAAAATCTGAAAAAACGGAGGCTTGAAATGCATATGGGATACTCTTTCCTAAAAGCAACATTTTCCCCCTCTAGTTTAGAGATTGCTTTCGGGTTCACTCAGAAAATAGCATTAGCGGATATGAAGACGTATGTTTTAATGTTCTTCACTCGTAAAAAATGAACAATTACACAAATTCATGACACTGATTCGAAAAGGAGATGACCATCCACAAGGGGATGCCATTTACAACCCGATTTTTGTCAAAAAATAAATAAAATAAAATAAGGTCGTTGGTCTACGCAAGCTATGATGCTCGGATTCGGGTACGTATCTAAGTGTCGGATCTTTTATTTTCTAAAATGTAGGATACGGGGACATGGCTAAAAATAGTCCAAATTTCGGACACGGATACTTGGGTACGTCTTTCAAATTTCAATTTTTTTTTATTAATCAAAGATGTCATTTTGAATAGACCAAAATCAATTATTCACAAAGAAGTAAATGTGCATTGAATAAGGCATTGAGACAAATAAAATAAAATTGAGGTTTAGTTTTCAATTATGGGAGTTACTAAATGTTATATAAAATAGAAAATTGGGAACTTGATTGCAATTTAGACTAAGTGGAGTACCAAGTAGCACTATATAGAATCCATTTTCATTTTATACAAACAAAACTCTGAACCATCGATACAAAGAGAGAAAGAAGGGAAAAAAGAAGAAAAAAGAAAGAAAAAGAAAGGAAAACCTAGCGCCACCACCTTTCTCCACCCTCTCAGACGCGATGCTAGGTTTATATAGAGCATAAATGGGAAAGAAGAAAAGGGCAAAAAAAAAGGAAGAAGATGCAAAAACGACAAAATGTCCGGTTGAAACTTGGAGGATCCGACACATATCCCATATCCATACCCATGTCGTATCGTGCCCTAAATACCAATACCCATGTCGCATCACAGTATGCAAGAACCTAAATAACTGCCTCTTACCGCATCTGGGATGGAAATACCAATATCAATACCAATTTGGTCCTTTTTCAATTTGCATAATAACTTATCTCCATCCACTAGTCACTTCCAAAATTGTTTCTCCAGGCTACAAACTTTTCAAGTTTATATTTAAGTCATTAAACTTTAAACTCTCTTTCATTTGAACTATTTTTCAACATTCACTGCATGCTATCTCCTTAATCAAATCACTCTAAAATTATCTACAAGGTATTGTGAAACTCACCAAGTCCATGTGGATGAATTGCTCAAGCCTTGTTTTTGCAAATAACCTATTCAGTAAAACTGGCACATAAGACACAGCCAAGTGACACCACAAAAAGGGTGAAGGCTAACAATTCTACGAAACTGGAAAAAGTTAAAGTGCTCGGAACTTACATCTTATACGCTGTTTGGACACGAGCATTCTGTATTTCTGTGAGTTCATTTATTCTCTCTGTTGCATAGCCTTCATTGGCATCCATAGAACCAAAAAGAAACACACTTCTCTCTAGCATTCTTTTGACCAAAATAGAAACAACTTTTATATCTCTTGTCTTTGTGTCTACAACGAGATTCTTAATCCTTTTCAAGTCTCCTGCAGAAGGCAAATCGAGATATGACTTGAAAGGCAGAAGGCCATGAAACAGGAAAATAAAAGCAAGATATTTGACTGTTATCGCATTATAACCAACTCTGTCCCCAGCCATTATAAACTGACCTACTTGAAATTCAAAAAATTATGAAAGGGATTTATGCAATTCTATTACTTCTTCGTTCATTCTCTCTAGCAAATATGGAGTGCGTGTTCAAATATTGGTATTATGACAGGAAAATAACAATTACTCTTAAAAAAATGACAAAAGGACGTGTATGGAGACACTTTCATAAATTGGTGCAATACGATCAGTTCACAAAAAACTTTATTGGCCAACCAATACACTACCACCTGTAATCATGGATGCTAATCGACTTGTCATGAGTATTTCTACATGCATCACTATTACTGGTACAATCATTCCTCCGTGTTGAACTACGGTTTACAGCTTAGACAATTTCATCAAGCTCTCAAAGCCAGGAAAAATGGGAGAAAACAAAGATTTTAAGAATTTGATATCAAACTAAAAAACATTTTTCCTGATTATAGAATCAGCAAGGACAAAAATGCTTTCTATGAACTCAAAAAATTTAGTATGATATTTCAAATCATGAAGCAGAAATAACATTTGCAAAATGCAAAGCAACTGTAAACATTAAAAAAAATAAAAATATAAAAATTAAATGGGTCGGGGCAATTTTAAACTATTAGCCCATTTAAGCTTACTAACAAAATCTAAAATCCATCAAAAGGTTTAAAAGTCCATCCTACTTTAAAAATTCAATAAATCAAATAAAAAATAGGTGGTTACAAATTTCTCTATAAATAGGACCAAAGGTCTAGGAAAAAATTACAAACGAAAGGTGCAAGCGAAAGGTGCAGAAGAAAAAGCACAAGTGCAGAGGAAATTCCAAAGTTGGAGAAAGAGAATAAACTCTCTCTAATAAGCTTAAGTCCGGGGAATACCGAGAAGATCAAAAGCTTCTTCAAACTCATGCAAATTCAAATCAAAGTCCCGAAATTTAAATCCAAGTCTCGAAATCCATATGTCAAACAAGTCAAGTTCTCAACAAATCAAGTCTCCAACAAATCTTGAAGTTCAGGATCTAAATCACATGACCCCTTGTTTTCAAAAATTTAGGTCATTTATCAGAGGATTGTGCAGTTGTTGCAGTCACAAAAAAATCATCATCCACTTTTATTTCTCAAAAGTATAATTTGTAACAATTTTTGTATTTTAATACACGGAATTTGTTGTACAAGTTCTTGGCTTAGATCCTGGACTTCAAGATTTGCTGGAGACATGATTTGTTGAGAACTTGACTTGTTTGGTACTTGGATTTGAAATTCGGGATTTTGATTTAAATTTTCTTTGATTTGAAGAAAACTTTGATATTTTGAAAGCTTGAATTTGAAGAAACTTTTGATCAGCTCGGTGTTCTTAGACTTAGGCTTGAAGGAGTTTCTTCTCTTTATCCGGCTTTGGAATTTCTTGTGCACCTTTCGATTGTGACTTTTTCATGGACTTTTGGTCCCATTTATAGAAAAATTTGTAACCACCCACTTTTGATTTGATTTATTTTTTGAATGTTAAAAGTAGGATGGAGTTTTTAGTGTATGATGGGCTTTAAATGTAAGTTGGGACTTTTGATAGATTTTAGATTGGCTAGTAAACTTAAATAGGCTAATGGTTTAAACTATACTTGTATTACTCCTATTTCTGTAAATATTTATCAAAACAAAATCTCTTGTTTAAACTAATAACAGGCAATACGATTGTCATCAACATATTGTATAGACAACATCACTATCCACTCATACCAATGATATCTGAGGAGGCATTATTACTATATTCAGATAAAAAGGGAAAATACAAAATGATGATGAGAGGAAAAGGATTGCAATTAAGATAGTAAAAACCACAAAAAGTTCGTATCCTTCAGCGTACCCATCAGCATAAAGAATTAATCATGTTGCAATTCACTCTAAGTTTAGCAAAAACAATTGCCAAAGTAGGAAGTGAAATGCTTGCAGAGGTAACATACAGTGTGGTAATTATTATGCAAATATGGATAATTATGTACCACTATATTTAGCAGAATTTGTATTCAAATTCAAGAATTAGCTTATAAGAATAACACAACATGAGCACAAATCCCAATTTTATCATATTTCAATGAACATAAGTCGAATCTTACCAAGAGATAAGTAAATTTTGAAAGGTGGCTTGAACGGTTGAGTCTCGTAAAGGCAGTACAAGCAATACAGCCCGCCCACTCTATTTGGAAGAGAACCAGTCATATAGCCTGCATTACAGCAAAACACCACCAATCATCTAAGCTGAAATATCTGCAAAACAACATCAAACTGCAATATAACAATGAAGAACTCAAACTGCATACCAATGCAATGTGCATATAATGACTGCATAAAGCAAGCCTGGTTGGTGGAAGGGCTAGCCTCAAAAATAAAGGAGAATTTTTTAGAAAGCCATATTCTCTTGAACTCTGCAAAAGTAGTTGATCCGCCCTACAAATCATCACAACAGCACAGGTATGTAAATATAAATACTAAACCCAAAAAATTAAAGAAGGAATCTAGTTTACGAGTAATACCTTCACAAAATCATTTATAAGCTCATCTATGTCTAGCTTGAAAGGCTTGAGATCCATTGCTCTTTGAAGATTCTTGTACCTTTGACTGGCTAAAGCTTAATTTATTTATCAGGCCGACAAAAACCCACCATCACCATCCTTGTGACAGAGGCTGAAAACCCACCCCAACCGTCTGCAATATACGCACCTTCAATTTATACTTTTCAATTTGTGATAGTATTGAAGGAGATTTTATGGTGTTATTCAAAAGAAAAAAAAAAAAAAAA